GCAGGAAAAATGAATTCCATCGTATTGAATCGAAGAGAAAATCAAATCAGTACATTGCAAGGTGGTGTGTAATAGAAAATGATATCAACAAACTAACCAACTCACTAACTCAACTGTACAAAGCAATACAAGATGGACATGTGGACTTGATCAACTAATCTAACCACCTAACTGATAGCTGGCTCCAGTGGCGCACCTCCTTGGTTCTTTCTGTTATATGGAGACAGCACAAACAGGGGCTGATTCTAGAACCCAAGCGCCGGCCAAAGTGTAAGCAAAAAAGAGGGGAAGATGGGTTGCACAAAGGAGCCAAAATCCTGCCATGATCAAAGGAAGAAGCACAACAATAGCCTGGCAAAGGAATAACCTTGTGACATACGTGTATAATGAAAAAAGGAGGCCAACATATGCAGTTCCATTTAGGTTAAATAAGTGGGTTGAGCCCTAAATGAAACACTCGGTCCGTCTTAGATTCGTGGGCTTCCAATTGTGGTTTTGGGCTTACGTGATTCAATATTCAATCTCGAACTTCTAACGAAGCCTATGAATAAAAAAGCAAACTCGATTTGTTCATTACATCCCCAAATTTATTTTGTATCAAAAATTCCCACCATATGTAAATGATCATCAGTTCAAATATTATCTAAAAAATTTAAGAAGAGTATTGAAATTTATAAATGCAATCATTCTAGAGTCAGAATAAAGAATCTTTAGAAAATAAGAATCATCTTGTATTTAAAAAGTCTCAAGAAAATGCTCATATGTTACCAAAAGTCTTTTTCAATAAATTTAATTTGGGTATATGAATCTTTTGTCATGTCATATAATATTCTTGAATATATAGTTAAGATCATCATTTTATGCCTTTCTCCACCCATTTAAATAGGTTGACTTTTCTTAATTTCTTGTCTTAATTATATAGGCTGATTTTTTTTTTTTTTTATTGAGAATGTTTTATTTTGTTCTTTTACTAATATATCCTTATTTAATTTGTCTAGTCATAATCAATTTTTCTCACTTAATTTTGAAATTGTACAAATATAAATAAGGGTAGACTGAGAAAATTTTTGGTAAAACTTTTTTCAATAACATTAATATGATTTCTTAATTCGTGAAAACAAGCCTATATAAATAGGGGTGTCAATGGGCCGAGCCGACATGAGCTCAGCTCGCGAGCACACGTCGTTTTTTTTTTTTTTTGGAAACAAATAGGTAAATTGAAAAATACAAAAGTAATTTTAATTTTTAAATCGTGAATTTTTTATATAAAAAATTTTTATATATAAAAAATTAGGTAAAAAATTTAAACCCTCCTCCTTTATCCGGGCTTGGGATCGACTATTTAAATTTAGAGTAGATGGAGTTAAAAATTGTGTTGTTTGTTTGTTCGTGTATAATTTTTTAAAGAAAATTTAAAATAGTATTAAAAATTATTTTTTCAAACAACATTGTGCATTCCCTTGCATATAATTTTCGAAGTAAATCATTTCTAAAAATTAAAAGGGTAATCGAATGTCCTTTCAATTGTCAGAAATCTTCATTTCAAAGATTATATATAATTTTCGAAGTGAAAGACTTCTGACAATTGAAAGGGCAATCATTCGATTACCCTTTTAATTTTTAGAAAGAATTTACTTCAAAAATTATATGCAAAGGTACGCACAGCGTTGTTCGATAAAAGAATTTAAAATGTAGACATATAGTAGTAATAGTACTAAGTACTAACAAAAATTTAACTAAATTGATGGAAAGAATTTTTTTTTAATTAAAAGAGAGAAAAAAATAAAAATGAAATCTTTATTTTTCTTTTTAAAATAGATAAAATATAAACCCTCCTCCTTTATCAGAGCTTGAGACCGGCTGCTTAAATTTTTAGTAGGAGGAGTTAAAAATTGTACACGAACAATTTATTGTAGCGTGTACAATTTTTTAAAGAAAATTAAAAGTAATGATAAGAAAACAAAAGTTTCATCAATATAATTAAATCAAATATCACATACTTGACTACATGCAATTTCGGTATATTTATCTTGTAGTCGAAAATGAGCGTTCTGCCAATCCTTAACACATATTAACGCTTCTAAAATATCTTATTTCAGTCGGCTCCTGATTTCGCTCAAAACTCTTTTACCTGCACTAAAAGTAGACTCCGAAACAACAGTGCTAACCGGAGGTATCAGCAGATCTTTTACAATCGCAAATATAACTGGCCAACGTCGTTCATACCTTCGCCGGGATTTAATTATTTCGTCTGAACTTTTTTAATTGTTTTATCTGTTGGCATATTCTGGTTGAAATAATCAATTAATTCAGCAGACAATGCATTATGGTTTGAGCCCGTAGATGATTGATGAGAATGAGATATAGATGGTGACGACATGACAGTGGCAGCAGATGAACACATTGCAGATGAATCATATCTATACGAATTAATGCCTTGAAATAAATTAAATATTTTCGCATCTTCTTCAATTTCAGCGAAAGGAGTTGGTGCAGATGGTACCCGACTAATATTGCTACCCATTCGGTTCGCATATAATTCATACATAATATTTGTTTTAAATTTCTATATGTGATAGGTGTATCAAATGTTAAGGCGTTTGAAATTTAATCAATTATATATTTAGTTCTCGATAGATTATATTGGGGGTCCATCACACATGCTAAAGGAAATAATATAGGCAAGTCTTCCCAATATTTTCTAAATTTTAATTCTATAGCAATTATAATTTCACTAAAATCATGGTCATTTTTGTATTTATGAAATGTTCTTGCAATTATATAAAGACGTTCAAGCACCATACAGCTGGTGGGATAGTAAACGTCCGATAAAATCTTAGTGATTTCATAAAAAGATGTCAAAAATCTTTTAAACTTTCAAAGTTATTTGCCAATCACGTTCAGTCAACATACCCTCATCATCACTTCTGACATGTCTATTATTATAAAAGTCAGTTATTAAATGTTCAAAACCTTCACATGACTTTAATAACAAGTAAGTAGAATTCCACCCATGACCTACATCGCTAACAAATGTTTTAGTATTTTGCACTCATTTTTCGGCACAATAATTCTCAAATGCTTGTTTTCTGCTTGGGGAGATTGTGATATATATTAGTGCGTTCCTAATATTTTGAAGTTCATCCTTTATATGTTTTAAATCATTTTAGACAATTAAATTCAAAATATGACATATACAACGAATATAAAACAAATACCCGCCAAAATCAGGTTGCAGTACCCTATGCAATTTATCAGCAACTACTTTATTAACACTAGCATTATCGAAAGTAAATGAACGAATTTTACTTTCGTAATGATATTCTCTAACAATACTAATAATATCATTAAATATATTATTAGCGTTGTGGGGAAATTCAATAATTCTAAAAGTAATAATTTTTTTATGCATGCATCAAAGTGGATCTATATAATGTGCAGTTGCAGCTATATATGCTCTTTTATTAATCCCTTCCCATATATCCGAAGTGAAAGATATGACATCCCCATATTTTTGCAAATCAATAATTAATTGTTATTTTGTTTCAGTAAAATATTGTATTGTATCGGAACGAAGAGTGTTTCGACTTACCTCAACATACTTTGACTGCAGATATTCTTTCACATACGAGACATAGTGTTGGTTGTTAATTAATGGCAAAGGCAACTCAATATCAGCAACAAGCTTCACCATTTTGGTTCGAGTTCTCTCCTCCGAATACACCCATGTGGATAGGGGTGCAGCAGAATCATTGACGTCTGGACTGGCAAATTGCAATTGTGTTTGACAACCTGGAATAAGTCCGTGTTTGGCCGCACATACTTTGTAATGACGGTTGAAATGTGTGGTACCAATTCTTCTTTACCATGCTAATCTTCGTTGGCAGTATTTACATACTGCTTTGGATTTTAGGACTCCATTAATGATTTTTCCCGTTGAAATCAACTTAAAGTGATCCTAATATTTTGCTTGTTTTTTCCTCTTTCGCTTTCCCCTCGCATCAGGAATGTTTAATTCAAGCTCTTATTCCTGATCGTGTTCTGCTTTAGGAACGTCAACATCATCCAAATTAATTGGATAATTTGGATTGTCGCTTACATGATGATGAAGATCCAAATCTGGAATATCTTCAGGTAGGGGTACGTCATTTAGACTTTCAAATTGATTCCGAAATTGACTTTGCGGTGTCATAGGCAATTCGTTTCTTCTCACATCGAACAAGTTTTCGACAAATGTGCGTGAATCCATTTGTTTAATTATAATAAGTAATAATTAGTAAAAGAATAATTGTATAAATGTAGTGAGAAATGAAAATTGGATGAAATTTCAATAAATATAGTGAGAACTAAGAAATGAGAATTGGATATTGTATAAATTGTATATAAAAATTGCACAACTATCAACACAACACAAGAGAGTTGAGAGAAAGATAATTGAGAGTTGAGAGTGAATTGTAAATGCCACTATTTATAAAAGAAGAAGAGGGAAGAAAAAATAATAAAAAAAAATTTTTAAAAAAAAACTTAAAGGACTGAAACGGTCATAAATTAAAAAAAAAAATTCAGGGACCGAAACGGTCACTTTTTAAACAAGCCCATGAGCCAGGCCCGCAAGCGGCTCGTTTAATCCCACCGAACCAACCCGCTCGGCTCGTATTTTTACGAGTCCGATCTGCCCACGAGCTAAGTTTTCGCGAGGCGATGAGTCGCTCGACCCATTTATCACCCCTATATATAAATGGGTCAGAGTGCATATTAAATAATAATAAGATATTCAGCAAACTATTTCATAGCTCAGGCCCGTTCTTTTGTAACATGTTTAATCGAAACGCGTTTGTCTTATAATTATGTGAAATATATGTCAACTTAAAGTTATCTTTTCATGCAATTATTTAACAAGCCGGCAATTAATGCGGCATTGAGAAAAATAAAATAACCTAATTTTCTTTGTTTAGTCTTAAATTCTTTATTCAAGTAACGTTTCTCTTCACCTTCTTTGATCTTTCCTTAATTGCAGTCTTCATCTGCAGACATAAACAAAACACGCAAGCACGCACGCGGTCACTCGGCACAGACTTGCATATATAAAGTTATAAACATTTCATTCACATCCCATCTTCTAAAGATTTTATTTATAACTTCCCTTTATTCCTATGACTATGCCTGGAGAAAAACAAGGTTGTGGCGACTATGAAGAGGAGGCTTCAGCCACCGGATGTGGCTGTTTTAGGTTATTCTGCGGTGGACGGAAAAAAAGCAGCCAAGGAGAAAGTCATTATTTGTTACAAGGGAGACAAGTCTACAAGGAAACATGGTTGGTTACAAAATTTAAGAAATTGAAGGAGTTTTCAGAGTTGGTGGCAGGGCCTAAATGGAAAAACATGATAAGGAAAATTGGCAAGGTTTGTAATCCTAAGAAGAAATCTCAGATGACGACGCAGCTTCAGTATTCTCCTGGAAGTTATGCTCTCAATTTTGATTGTGGTGGTGAGGATGAAGAAGAAGATAATTTGTTGCACAGTTTTTCATCAAGGTTTGCATCTCGTGATTTCAGCTATCAACAAAGTAGAGATGGGTTGTGATTATTGAAAAGAAATATATTTAATTGGTGTAGTTGGTAATTGATCAAATAATTCTTTTCTTGTAAAATAGAAATTAATTATGATTAAATACATTGTTCTTGTGCATAGGGTCAAATGTTTCTAGAAGTTCGAACTTATCCGCCCATCGTAATTTATTCAAAAGTACACCTAATCTATGTACTTGACCTTGTGACACCCGCAATAACCAAAATGTTAAGAAAACCATTCCTTAAGAAGAGACATTCATCTCAAAATCTCATAGAAGTTGTCAATCATTAGCACCAGATACAAATATTTTTAATATATTTTTAATTAAAATCGATAAAATTGTATTGCAAAAATTAATTATCGACTTTGATTTAAGTTTTTATCAACTCTTTTAACTAAACTCGACAGAGGCTAAAGAGTGAGAGAACATGGAATTTATCTCTGTTGAAATAACGGATTGATCGACCCATTACTTCAACCATTTCTTCATTGTATATTGTGTATATACAATAACGTGGAGATGCAAGTGTTCACAACCAGTCTAGAGTTCCTTTCTATAGATAAATATACTATTAACTGCAAATAGATGGTACAAACAGAACTTTTCAAATGGGGTTCTTCCCATTTGTACACCTATTTCTCTGTCTAAATCCCATGACACCAAGTGATCAACCAGATAAGTAGCCACTGAAATCTTCCATTTCAGCTCCACCTTCAAAGGCCATGCTTGAATGGCCACTGGGTATGAACATAAATGGCAAAGCCTCGCTTTTCTTCAATCTGAAATTTTTGCTCGCATGACAGGCTCATTG